CTTTATCATAATGTAAAATTTCAGAAACAAAACATGGGTTGGAACAGAGTTGAAGGCTGGACTTTATTCAATGAAAGTACTTTTAGCTTATTAAAAAATTATTAGGGTACTTGCTATAAATATTGTTTTTGCTGTAGGTGGTCTCAGAAACATTGAAGACCAGCTCTGTGGAAGCAAGATAACAAAGCTACATCAGAGATAGTATTGTCATTCACTTTGGGGACTCAGTCAAAAGAAGGGTAGCATTTTAAAAAATGATTATTACCTTCAGCTAAAAATCATAGTGGTGCTTGTTGTAAGATATACCTCTCTTCCTATGACTTGGAAATATTACTGAAGAACTTTTAAACTTCTATTTCTTCTTGTTCAGAAAAAATACAAAAGAGAAACAAGAGGGACTGGGGATTTAATTGTAGTATGATTAAGTTTAGTAATAATAAATATGGACTAGAGGAACTCAAGGAATGGAACATTTATTAACATAAATATCTTTTTTTTTTGAGGCAGAGTCTCACTCTGTCGCCCAGGCTGGAGTGCAGTGGCCGGATCTCAGCTCACTGCAAGCTCCGCCTCCGGGTTCACGCCATTCTCCTGCCTCAGCCTCCCGAGTAGCTGGGACTACAGGCGCCCCGCCACCTCGCCCGGCTAGTTTTTTTGTATTTTTAGTAGAGACGGGGTTTCACCCGGTTAGCTGTGATGGTCTCGATCTCCTGACCTCGTGATCCGCCCGCCTCAGCCTCCCAAAGTGCTGGGATTACAGGCTTGAGCCACTGCGCACGCTAATACCTTTTAAATGTAATGAATATAAGTAGGCACCTCCCCAAAAAAGAAATGAAAATGGCTATGTGTGTTCAAAAATGATCACTGTCACTAACAATCAAATAAATGAAACTTAACCAGACTTTTTCCTATCGTATTGGCAAAAGATCTGGGTGGTGTAGAAGGTGTTGTGGATCATTTAACATATTTTAAAATTTTAAGTGATTATCCTATGTTAACTGCAAAGATAGAAAAGGTTGTCTGAAACCTAAGCTACCTAGGTCTTTATCTGATTTGTAGGTAGAAATAGTTTTGTGTAATCAAGGGAGTATAGTGATGCTAGAAACTGGCAGAGTATGTTTCTCAGACCAGCTAGCAACCAGCTCTCGGCTGAAGGCTTAATTCTAGTAGCTATTAATTTGCTGCATGTCTTAACAATCTCTGTGCCTCAGTTTCTTGTCAGAGCCATTTTTTGTTTGTCTGTTTTTTTGAAACGAGTCTCTCCGTCGCCCCAGGCTGGAGTTGAGTGGCAAGGTCTTTGGCCTGGCTGCAACCTCCGCCTGGGGTTCAAGTGAGTTCCCATGCCTCAGCCTCCCAGAAGCTCGGGATTACAGGCGCGCACCACCACGCCTGGCTAATTTTTGTATGTTTAGTAGAGACAGGGTTTCGCCATGTTGGCCAGGCTGGTCTCAAACTTCTGACCTCAGGTCATCCGCCTGCCTCGGCTTCCCAGTGCTGATTACATGTGAGCCACCATGCTCAGGCCCAGAGCCATTTTTTTCGGTCGCTTGACCAGAAATCTTGATTCCTATTTCTCTTCTATCAAGAACAGTGTTCAGAATATATTTGCAATCTGCAATCTGACCATTTCCCTCTGCCCATCCTGGGTCCAAGCTACCATCTTAACTTGCCTGGGAGTTAGTGTGAATTGCCTCCCTGTTGACTTCTCCCTGCTTCCAGCCTTGTCCGTTTTTGATACAAGAGCCAGAATGTGATTTATGATATGTGAGCCAGCTCACTTCTCTGCTTCAGCTGGTCCAGAAGAGTTTCCTTGTGAGACAGCCTTATCTCCTTAAAGGGAAATGGATGTTTGAGTACCAAGAACTGGATAATTAAGAAGGGGGAGGAACCCCAGGAATCCTGTTCCCATCTCATGCAGAGTAAAATGCCAAACTCCTTTTCTCCCCAGTTTCATCTCCTCACCATTCTTCTTGCTGACTGAGTTCCAGCCACACGCCTCTCTTTGCTGTTCCTTGAAGAGTCCGATAGCTCCTTGTTGATTTCAGCCTAAAAATGCTTTTCTTCTAGGTATCTGTATGATTAATTTCCTTCAGCCCTTTGTCCCTCCTGAAGTGCCTCTCCCTGCTCTTACCTTGTGTAAAATAGCCACCCCCTCCCCTTTGCACTCTATCCCCTTACCCTGGTTCTTCTTCAGCATGCACTTTTATTGTCTATTTCATTCCGTTAATGTCAGGACTTTGTTCCCTGGTGAATGACTGCCGAGCAGTTGGGCATTCAGTAACTATTTGTTGAATGACTCATTTTCCTAGTGGCTTCTTCCTCTGCCTAGAGAAATGCTCAGGCCACCCTTGTTCTTTAGCCTGTGGAAGATGAACACTGCCTTCTGTGTACCAAAGGTTTCTGCAGAGGTGATCTGTGGGCTTCTTCCCTGTACTCACTGCCCAGATTTTTCTGTTGCATTATTCTTTACCAGTCATGCAGGCAAATCTGTTTTCTAAGTAACTTTTCTGTGTTTGGAACTAGTGCTTTCCTTTTCCTGAGTTTGGTATCATTATGTAAATATGTTAACAATTTGGCACTTATTCCGTCATTCAGCTGGCAACAATTATTGCAGCAGATACTGTGAGCCAGGCTGGAGTGCCAGACTGTATGCTAGGGCTTAAAGAGGTGTGAGCCACATTGCTCCTGGAGGAGCTGATGGCCCAGTGGTGGTTGTGCGTCAGCAGCTGGGGACAGGCAACTGCCATAATGAACGCAGAGAGGAGTTGGGGAAATCACAGCATGGGTTAGGCAGGCCTGTTCCAGGATTAGGAATCTCATGGGTGTGCAGAGTTTGTCAGGTGAGGAAGCAGGCAGAGTTGCTGTGAGGGGGAAGGAATAACGTGCAGAAACACAGAAAGCTTTGCTTGTTTACAGAAGCATGAGTCAGTGAGTATTGTTGGAGCATAAAGTACAGTGCAGACAATGATGATGGATGAGGCCATAGTAGTTGCATGAGCTGATCCAGATTGTTTTGTTTTTTGGGACAGTCCCACTCCTTTCATCTAGGCTGGAGTGGGGAGTGCAGTGGCACAATCTTGGTCACTGCACCATCTGCCCTGGGTGGTAAAGCAATCCTCCCATCTCAGCCTCCGAGTAGCTGAGACTATAGGTGCCCGCCACCACGCCTGGCTAATTTTTTTTTTTTTGAGGTGGCGTTTTGCTCTTGTTGCCCAGGCTGGAGTGCAGTGGCGTGATCTGGCTCACCACAACCCTGCCTCCTGGGTTCAAGCGATTCTCCTGCCTCAGCCTCCTAGTAGCTGGGATTACAGGCATGTGGCGCCACGCCCGGCTAATTTTGTATTTCTTTTAGTAGAGACTAAAGGGTTTAGGGTTTCTCCATGTTGGTCAGACTGGTTTCGAACTCCCAACCTCAGGTGATCTGCCTACATTGGTCTCCCAAAGTGCTGGGATTACAGGCATGAGCCACCGTGCCTGGCCACGCCCAGCAAATTTTTGTATTTTTTTTGTAGAGACAGGGTTTTACCATGTTGCCCAGGCTGGTCTCCAACTCCTGGGCTCAAGTGATCTTGCCTTGACCTCTCAAAGTGCTGGGATTACAGGTGTGAGCCACTGCGCCTGGACCAGATCCAGATGCTTCTAAAGGACTGTGTGTTTACTATATAGAGTGAGGCTGCTATCCTGAAGCCCATGGATTTGGGGGTGCGTACCTGTCTACACGTGAACAGAGGCATGGTGGAAGGTAGTTCTGGAAGGTTTTTACCTTAGTTGCAAGCTCCCTTCCTGAGGCAGGGAGAATCCAGAATATTTTCTACCATATGTTAACATATTTTTCGGCGGATTATTTTCTCCTTTGGATTGTAAATTCCTAAAGGGCGATGAGGTCTTAATTTTATGAATCTCCTACCTCCTCACGTGTGCATTGTGGAGATAGATGCTCATTTAAATCTTTCTAGGCTGGGTACCACGCTATAATCCCAGCACTTTGGGAGGCCAGGGCAGGGGACGCCTGAGGTCAGGAGTTTGAGATCAGCCTGGCCAACATGGCAAAACCCTGTCTCTCTAAAATACAAAAATCAGCTGGGCGTGATGGCATGCACCTGTAATCCCAGCTACTCTGGAGGCTAAGGCAGGGAATCACTTGAACCCAGGAGGTGGAGGTTACAGTGAGCCAAGGTCACGCCACTGTACTACAGCCTGGGTGAAAGAGTGAGACTCCGTCTTAAAAACAAAACAAAAACTTTATTTTTGGAGTATAGTGGCACAATCTCGGCTCACTGCAACCTTGGCCTCTTGAGTTCAAGTGATTCTCCTGCCTCAGCCTCCCAAGTAGCTGGGATTAAAGATGTCTGCCACCACACCTGGCTAATTTTTATATTTTTAGTGGAGACGGAGTTTTGTTGTTGGCTAGGGCTGATCTTGGACTCCTGAGCTCAGGTGATCTGCCTGCCTTGGCCTCCCAAAGTGCTGGGATTATAGATGTGAGGCACTGCCCACTGCACCCAGGTAAACTTTATTTTTCTTTTTTGTTTGGGACGGAGTTTTACTCTGTTGCCTAGACTGGTGTGCAGTGAGTGGATCCCGGCTCGCTGCAACCTCTGCCTCCCAGGTTCAAGTGATTCTCCCACCTCAGCCTCCCAAGTAGCTGGGATTACAGGCATGTACCACCACGCCTGGCTAATTCTGTATTTTTTGTAGAGACGGAGTTTCTCCTTGTTGGTCAGGCTGGTCTCGAACTCCGACTCCTGTGGGTGATCCTCCTGCTTCGCTCTCCCAAAGTGCTGGGATTACAGACGCAGCCACCTTACCCAGCCAAACTTGCTTTAAATGAATAATGACTACACTACCATCTGTAGCCCTGCTCTGTGTTTTTTTTTTTTTTTTTTGAGACAGTCTCGCTTTGTCGTCCAATCTGGAGTGCAGTGGCACGATCTCGGCTCACTGCAAACTCTGCCTCCCGGGTTCACTCCATTCTCCTGCCTCAGCCTCCTGAATAGCTGGGACTACAGGTGCCTGCCATCACGCCCAGCTAATTTTTTTTTGTATTTTTTAGTAGAGATGGGGTTTCACCATGTTAGCCAGGATGGCCTCGATCTCCTGACCTCAAGTGATCGGCCCGCCTGGGCCTCCCAGAGTGTAGGGATTACAGGTGTGAGCCACGCCCTGGCCAGCCCTGCTCTGTTTTAACCTCTCATAACGTTTCGCCCTTTTATCTGCCCCATCCCTCACTTTCAATTTTTCTATTAGGCAGATTAAATTCAGAAACAAAGAAAAAAGAGGAAAACTTTGTTCCAGGAGGATTTGTTGTTTGTGCTGTCAGATGCCAGGTCCTAATGGATTTAGACGAAGGTTGGGGTGGGACTCCTTCCTGAGGCAGCCACTTCAGTGCTTCTTTGCATTCTCTGTTCCTGTTTCTTGATAGGTGCTCAATAAATGTTTGCTGAAGGGATCATCCTGTTTATTGATAGCAAGACTAAGCCTGTGTTTTCATAGTAAAACCTGCCTACTTTTCTACTTTGATCTCCTATAATCTTTCCTTTCTGTGCTCCAGACACATTATTAAACTCTTCATTCCAGCAGTACTTCCAGATATTTCCGCTGCCTGGAGTGCCCTCTGTCTTCTCTGGCCAACTCCTATACCTTCTTATAAGACTTAACTCTCCTCCTTTCTGGGAAAATGATTGCTCATTAACCCAGGTGGAGTTAGTTACTTCTTCCTGTGTACATTTTTTTTTTTAATTGAAATATAGTGTCACTCCATCCCCCAGGCTGGAATGCAGTGGCACGATCTCGGCTCACTGCAACCTCCGCCGCCCAAGTTCAAGTGATTTTCCTGCCTCAGTCTCCCTAGTAGCTGGGAATACAGGCGTGTGCCACCACGCCCGGCTAATTTTTTGTATTTTTAGTAGAGATGGGGTTTTACCGTGTTGCCCAGGGTGGTCTCAAATTCCTGGCCTCAAGTGATCTGCCCGCCTCCAAAGTGCTGGGATTACAGATGTGAGCCACCACTCCCGGCCCCTGTGTACATTTTTATGTTGACGTTTGTTCAGCCTCTAGACCGCTTGGAAGGTGAAGACAAATCCATCCCTTTCTGTCTCCATCCTCATTCTTTTCTGTGTCTTGCCTGATGCCTGGCTATTTTGCTGAATGGATAACCTGTTAATTACTGTAGGAAGGCATGATATGACAATCTGGAAGCACACCTGAGTAAACTCTAATGATTTTTAACCTTCTCTACTCAGCCTAGACTAGGCCTTTGTACAGGTGTGTATGTGAGTGAGAGTCTGTTTCAGAACTGGTAGATAGTAGCAACATCTTTTGTAAACTTGCAAGGTTAGAAAATTCATTTTTACAGCTGGACACGGTGGCTTATGCCTGTAATCCGAGCACTTTGGGAGGCCAAGATGGGTGGGTCACCTGAGGTCGGGAGTTCGACACCAGCCTGACCAACATGGATAAACCTCATTTCTACTAAAAATACAAAATTAGTCGGGCGTGGTGGCCCATGCCTGTAATCCGAGCTATTCGGGAGGCTGAGGCGGGAGAATTGCTTGAACCCCGGGGGGTCAAGGCTGCGGTAAGCTGAGATTGTGCCATTTCACTCCAGCTTGGGTAACAGGAGCGAAGCTCCATCTCAAAAAAAAAGAAAAAAAAATTATTTTTACGTGTGGGCTTGGCTCACATCTATAAATCCCAGCACTTTGGGAGGCCGAGCTTGGCGGATTGCTGAGGTCAGGAATTCGAGACCAGCCTGGCTAACATGGTGAAACTCCATCTCTACTAAAAATATAAAAAAAGTAGCCCTGCATGGTGGCGGGCGCCTGTAATCCTAGCTACTCGGGAGGCTGAGGCAGGGGAATTACTTGAACCTGGGAGGCGGAGGTTGCAGTGAGCTGAGATCGCGCCACTGCACTCCTAGCTGGGCAATATAGCGAGATTGTCTCAAAAAAAAGAAAAAAAGAAAATTTATATATTTATTTTTTATTTCTTTATTTTTTGATACAGAGTCTCGCTCTGTTGCTCAGACTGGAGTCTCACTCTGTCGCCCAAGCTGGAGTACAGTGGCGAGATCTTGGCTCACTGCAACCTCTACCTCCCAGGTTCAAGCGATTCTCCTGCCTCAGCCTCCTGAGTAACTGGGATTACAGGCATGCACCACCATGCCCGGCTAATGTTTGTACTTTTAGTAGAGATGGGGTTTCACCATGTTGGCCAGTCTGGTCTCGAACTCCTGACCTCGTGATCTGCCCGTCTCAGCCCCGCAAAGTGCTGGGATTACAGGTGTGAACTACTGCGCTCGGCCCAGAAAATTTATTTTTACTTGGAAGGGTTTTGAGGAGGCTAACAGTACAGTCAGATCAGTGGTTCTCTACCAAGCATAGGGAACTTGGCAAGAGGAATGACTAGAGGCCCTTGTTTGTTCAGGGGTTCAGGCAGAGATAAGGGAGTGAGACTGGTAGAAGGGAATGGGAAGTGACTGAAAGAGAAGGGTTCCTGCTGGGGGAGCTGACATACTGTTTGTTAAAAATGACCTAAAGCACATAATAATTCAGTTCTGTTAACCCTGTTGTCTTTTCTGCAGACACCGCCCTAGCCATCATGGAGGTGGCTGACGCGGAAAGTCCTCTGAACCCCAGCTGTAAGATAATGACCTTCAGACCCTCCATGGAGGAGTTCCGGGAGTTCAACAAATACCTCGCATACATGGAGTCTAAAGGAGCCCATCGCGCGGGTCTTGCAAAGGTGATTTTCCTCAGATGCTTTAAATGAAAAACAATCACTTGGCCTTTAATTTATGTTCTTAGTTTTCATGATGTGGGACATTGTTTCTGAAGGAAGAAATTTGCAAAATCTTTGTTCTTGTTAATCCATATGGAACATTTGATTTCTTCAAATAGTAATTATCTTATTTTTCTTTAAGTATAACTATTCATGCTAGATTGTCTTCTAAGGCTTAAAAAGAAAAATTAAAACCAACCAAGGGTGGCTCGTGGAAACCAAGGAGATCCATGTATGGGTTTCAGAGGTGTGAGCGTATTCATATTTTTTGTTTGTTTCTTTGTAGACAACAATTATTAACCTGAAGCTTAACCACAGTTTCTCTGTCCTTTCCTTCTTCTTTCCTTCTATTTTTTTTTAAATTTTCTTTCTTTTTTTTTTTGAGACAGAGTTTCACTCTTGTCACCCAGGCTGGAGTGCAATGGGGTGATCTTGGCTCACTGCAATCTCCACCTCCTGGATTCAAGTGATTCTCCTGCCTCAGCCTCCTGAAGTAGCTGGGATTACAGGCACCTGCCACCATGCCCCACTAATTTTTTTGTATTTTTAGTTGAGACAAGGTTTCACCATGTTGGCCTGGCTGGTCTTGAATGCCTGACCTCAGGTGATCCATCTGCCTTGGCCTCCCAAAGTGCGGGGATTAAAGCTGTGAGCCACCGTGCCCGGCCTTTTTTTTTTCCATATAATACTTATTGATATATTTTATCATATAATAATACCATATAATGCATCAGTTTAAAGTGTGCAATTCAGTGGTTTTGAGTATATTCACAGAATTATGCAACCATCACCTCTATTGAATTCTATAACATTCTCATCATCTCCCAAAGAAACTTCATATGCATTAAGCAGTCATTCCTGATTGCCTGCTATCACCCCCAGCCCATAGGCAACCACAAACTGACTTATTCTCTCTCTACATTTGCCAATTCTCTTTTCTTTCTGCTTATTTGTTCACCAAATGTGGAGAGTGCCTGCTATGTGCCAGACACTATGCCAGGTGCTAGAGGTAGGGATGTGGTGGAGCAGAACATACAATGTTCCTGCCCCCATGGAGCTTGCTTACATTCTAGTGGTAGCATCTTAGAATGATGAAATAAGGACATTTAAGCACAGATCCAAAGGATCAAAAGAAACCAGCCTTTTCAAGATATGGGGGCAGAAAGAATAGCAAGTCCAGAGGCCTGAAGGCTGACCTGTACTTCGTGGCTGGGAGGAATAGGAAGGTGGTCAGTGGACTTGCCCGGCCATAGTAAGGCATTTGGGATTTTAAGTGTAGACGGAAGCACTGACAGGTTTAAAGTGGGAGAGGAAGATATGGTGGCTGTTTGTTTCTTTCTTTTGCTGTTTTTGGGACATTATTTTGAAAAGGTCACACTGGCTTCTATGTGAAGAATGAATTTGGTGTTGTGGGGGCAGAGCACAAATAAAGCACCTTGTCTGGAATGGTTGTATTTATCTAGTGAGGAGCCAGTGGTGACCCAGACCAGTGAAGATGGGAGAAGTTGTCTTTGGTCTGGATATGTTTGAAAATAATCATCCTGTTCTTACAGGTGCCAAATAATATTCTTAAAAAAAAAAAAAAGATAGCAACTTAAGCCTTGTGGGTATAAGTGACATGCCCAGAGTCATGGGGTGGTCAGTGAGGTACTGAGGACTGCATCGCACATTTGGATGCATAGGTCCAAAGTAAGATCTTTGAAAGAGAGAGATCCATTATATAATATAATTCATCGTCCAACTCGAGATGGTTTGTGTGTCCCTTCTATAATGTAAATCTATTTTAATTAAAAAATTTCCTGTGGAAGAATATGTTTTGTTGCATTTATTTCAATTTATTATTGTTTGAAGGGGTGGCCTGCCCCTCCACACCTGTGGGCATTTCTCGTTAGGTGGAACCAGAGACTTGAGAAAAGAAATGAGACACAGAGACAAAGTATAGAGAAAGAAAAAGTGGGCCCAGGGGACCGGCGCTCAGCTTACAGAGGACCCACGCGGCTACGGTCTCTGAGTTCCCTTAGTATTTATTGATAATTATCTTTACCATCTTAAAGATAAGGGAGTGGCTGGACAATGGGATCATTGTAGGGAGGAAATCAGCAGTAAGACATATGAACAAAAATCTCTGTGACATGAATAAGTTTAAAGGAAAATGCTGTGCCTTGAGATGCATATGCAAACATCTACATAAACCTTTTAGCAGCATTGTTTCAGCCTATCACATGGGGAGAAACCTTGGACAATACCTAGCTTTCCTAGGCAGAGGTCCCTGCTTAGGTGTCCCTGGGTAGTTGACATTAAGAGAATGGTGATGACTTTTAACCAGCAAGCTGCCTTCAGGCACTTGTTTAACAAAGACACATCCTGCACAGCCCAAAATCCATTAAACCTTGAGTCACCACAGCACATGTCTCTTGCAAGGACAAGGTTGGGGGTAGGGTCACAGATTAACAGCATCTCAAATACAGAATAAAATGGAGTTTCTTATGTCTACTTCTTTCTATATAGACACAGTAACAGGCTGATCTCTTTCTTTTCCCCACAATTGTTCTAAATGTTAAATTTATAATCTGGGTTTCTGTAGACTTGTCAATATCACTGCATAAATCCGTGAGCCCTGACAGAGCCTGCTGCCAGGCTGAACCACTCAGTTGCACTTAGGTAAAGTGTTCTCCTTGAAATCCCCAGCTGTGGAGGTCAGATAGCATGGAAAACAGAAGATAGTTGAGGAGAGAACTTCTGGAACTATTGGGATTGGTGTTCCACTCCTCCTGCAAATGGACCTGATGCTACTTGTAACCCACTACTTTACTGTTTCTGGTATCTGTACCCTGAGGTCTGTAATTAGGTTGTGTGTGTGTGTGGTTTTTTTTTGTTGTTGTTGTTGTTTTTTTTTTTGAGGTGGAGTCTCGCTCTGTCGCCCAGGCTAGAGTGCAGAGGCGTGATCTCAGCTCACTGTAACCTCTGCCTCCCAGTTTCAAGCAATTCTCCTGCCTCAGCCTCCTGAGTAGCTGAGATGACAGGCATGTACCACCATGCCCGGATAATTTTTGTATTTTTAGTAGCGACAGGGTTTCACCATGTTGACCAGGCTGGTCTCGAACTCCTGACATCAAGTGATCTGCCTGTTTTGGCCTCCCAAAGCGCTGGGATTATAGGCATGAACCACTGCTCCTGGCCCCTTCCTAGAAAACTTTTAAAATTTGGGAATATTAAGTTGAGTGAAAATTAATTAGGGGTGGGTGAGAGAGAGAGGAAACAAGATAAAGAGAAAACAAAGGGAAACTAAAGCTTTTTAATGACTTTCTCAGATGACCTATCCTTAGTTTAACTTCTTTATTGGGTTAGCTCATCAACAAAAAAAATCTCATTTGGGCTGGGTATGGGGCTCACGCCTGTAATCCCAGCACTTTGGGAGGCCAGGGCAGGCGGATCACTTAAGTTCAGGATGGCCAACATGGTGAAACCCCATCTCTACCAAAAATACAAATTTTAGCCATGCGTGGTGGTGGGTGCCTGTAGTCCCAGCTGCTCTGGAGGCTGAGCCAGGAGAATCGCTTGAACCCAGGAGGCAGAGGGCAGAGGTTAGGGATAACCATCTCTTCTCTTCTCTGGGCTCCGAATGCAGCCCTTTGTACTGTTGTTCTCTCCCACTTTTGTTTCTGGAAAACATGTACTGTGTTCCACTGAGATTAGTAGAGTGTCCTGTGATAGGGTGGCACGTTCAGTAACTTTAGAAGAGGAAACAGCAGCTATCCTCACAAGGGAGCTGCATGCACACAGAGCACACCTGCGTCGCTGTCTGCATTGTGTAACAGAATAAAGTTAATGAGAACTATGATTACAAAACACACCTGAGTCCAGACCGTGCCTCTTTTTTAAAATTGAGACTCATTGACAAAGTTGGAGACATTCATTTATTCAATCCTGTGATAATTTCCTATTACTCATTATTAGGAATACAACAAACTATTTCAAATCGTTTTTGCCATGTTTGACGTCAAGTCACATAAGCTCAGTTTTACCTACTTTCCCTCTTGTTCTGGAAGTTGCAATAGTAGCAAATGTATAAAACTGTACCAAATCAAATCATATTATAAAAATCAAGACTGCATTAATGAAGCTGGTTTGCTTTGGGGGCTAGTCCTGGGGAACCGAGCCACCCGTGATGTTCTTTGTTAATGCCCTATTTTTTTTTTATTTTGATACAGGGTCTTTTCCTGTTACTCAGGCTGGATGGTGTGATCATGGCTCACTGCAGCCTTGACCTCCCACGCTCAAGCAAGTAGCCTGCCAAGTAGCTGGAACTCAGCCTCCCATGTAGCTGGGACTACCCATGCCTGGGTGATTTTTTAAAAATTTTTTGTAGAGATGGAGTCTGCTGTGTTACCCAGACTAGTCTTGAACTCCTGAGCTGAAGTGATCCACCTTGGCCTCCCACAGTGCTGGGATTACAGGCATGAGCCACTGTGCCCGGCCCGTTAATCCACTATTGACAACATTTAATGAATTGGTCTTAATTTATGATTTGAGTAAATTGGTTGAGTAGGTCCAATAGTAGTGACTGTAGCCTCAGATGACAGTCGGTCTTGGTTTTTCTCTTCCCCATTTTTTAGATTCATGCTTTAGATTTAACGTTTATTTTTTGAGTGGAAGGTTTGACACTGTGACTGTCTACAGAGTTGATGGTCAGGTTGGGAAAATGAAGTGACAGTCTTTTCAAATGTGAAACTTGTAGTGTTTTTGTGGAAGGAGATTATGATGAACCTTTTTAATATATGAAGTGGGTGAAATTTGTTCCCAACAGAAATCTGAACATAGATTGTCCTAGACCATAGCTTATGCTTATCATGTAGTTTTATGAACAGCCAAGAGAGTGCAAATAGCTATCTTTGCCCACAAGGTGAAGAAAGATTGTAAGAAGCACCACTCTTTCCCTTCCTCCTCCTTCGTCACTAAGTAGA